CCTTGGAATGGAGAAGAGCTTTTCGACTGCAATGGTGGCGTATGTGCGCAACGCTTGGTGCGCAAGGGTTGGGCTGATTGGCCATAGTGGTGGTATATGTATGCCATGCTTGGTGCACAAGGGCTGAGCTGATGGGTCGTAGTGATGGCATGTGTGCCACACTGGATGCATTGAATGCGCGGGTCATTTGGGCCTTGCAAAGGTGCGACCCTACAAGTGGGAGTGCAGCCATCATAGTCGTGCTTGTAGTCTGGGCTGCACAAGGAGTGCGGTCCTTTAGAGAGAGTACGGTCGACATGCCCCGCTTGATATATACTGCGTAGGACCACCCCAATAGACTTCTTACACAAAAATCAAACCATATTTTTTTAGTGCAAAAGTGTGAATATATTAGAAAAGAAATCAATTTCATAAAATTCACTCAAAACGTAATATCCTGGTGGTAAAATAATAATAATAAAGAATGCTAGCCATTTTAATAACCTAATAATTTTATATAATTTTATATTGAATGTAAACACACATATATACAAACAGACGCACATATGCGTGTAATACTGAAATTTTTGCACATAAATTCATACAATATCAGTTATATAAGGGAAAAAAACTAAACATTAAAAACACATTAATGATGAGAATATATAAACCCAGCAGAAATATAATCTAATTCGCGGCCTACAAAAGGTGGGTGGTTTTGTTTTTACTTTCAGACGAATTGTTTTGGAAAATTGAAACCAAAAGAATGAAACGGAAAAATAAAGTACAAATTTTAGTTAGTTAGGGAAAAAAAACAATTGAAATGTCTCTCCACGTGAGACACTTATTAAATATAATTTCTTAATCTATTTCAGAGTTTCTCAAACCAATTATGATTTAAGAGTTCATTGTTGGGTTTAAAAAAATAATGTGTAAAAAAATCTTGGCATTATTATAATAGTGATGAGAAAAATTCTTACCATTGTGGTATGTAAAGATGTGGCACAAACTCCTGGTTTGAGCCTTTGTTCATATGTGTCGAATGCTACAACCTGAAAAAGTAAAACTACAAGAAATCAATAGTGATTGGTGTATTTTGAAATATTTAAGATAATAAGTACGATGTAACAAACCACTGCTGGTTCAGAGGTCTCAACCCGTAAGTACTTTTTTGCAGAATTCCCTGAAATTTCAAACACATTCCAAAGTCTTCAACAGTCATAATGTCCAACGTATACAAACAAGGATGGAACGCATCAGCAGGATGAGGAATAACAAACGATCCACCAAATATTCTACATTCCAATAAAAAGCTAATTCCAAAATCAGAGTGAGAATGAATAGAAATTTTAAGTTGCAAAGCTATATCCTTACTTGGAATTATTCTTTGTGAGAGCATGAATAGTTAAAATAATTATATAGCTAACAGTAGGGAGAAAAGAAAACATAAAATTCCATTCATCTTTGTGGCAAGTACATAGAAAACTTGTTCCTATGTATACAAACTACTACTCCGCCTCCAAGGGTCATTAACTCATCAACGAAGGTTCTGGTAGCAATTTCATAAAAATAAGCCATGTAGTTTAGGTAAGCGGTTAACCTCAAGTAAACCATGGGGTTTTATATCTGCAAGAGTGTACCACAGCATCAATCATTGTCACACCAACCTGAAAATATTTTGGGGAAGATACACAAAATTCAATACTTTTTCTTCCGAAGTGTGTTGACTCCTGGCTTTCGAGAGAGTCTGGGAGAGAATAATACTCCCTCTTATTAGTTATCCTAATTTCTACCTATTATATACAGAAAGATAAATTATACTCTTTTCTTAAAATTGTCACAAAACACCCGGTTGAAAAAGGGGAGTACCTTTTAAGGAAATACTAGAATTTTGTGGAGCTCGGCGAAGATGGGGAAACTTTCAGTAAAGATTGAGAATAAGGTCTTTATGTTTAGACGAGAGAAAGGGAGGCGGCTTTGTGAAAATAGCTGAGAGACATGGTAGAAGATTTTTCGAAGTTTCCCTAGAAAAAGTTGCCGCAGTTTGGATTGCTGACAGTGTTGAAGATCTATTATTGACTCCTCAAACCCAGAAGTTCTTCAGGAAGACGAATTGCAACGGGGTTTTATCTGGATACAAAAAGCTTCAAACAAGAGAGGAAGCTCTTGGAGTTGACGAAAGTTCAGAGTTCTGGAGGGAAAAAGAATATTGTAGTCCCGTCAGATGAAGATTACAAAGGTTGGGCAACTTTCCGAAAGCTGCTTATCGATTTTTTGAATGAGGAAAAATCCATCAAGAATGGGACGGTTGGGAGTCCCTCCCCGTCGGAGATTCGCCCAAGGGCTTTGAAGCAGAAGTCTTTTGCTGATGTTCTAAGAGCTAAAGAGCAGAAAGCAGATAAACAGACCATGACCTTTAGTCCACCGTGGAACGTTTTAAGTACTGCGGGTGAAACAGAGGTTCGCAGCCTAAACTGGGAATTGTGGTGACGCGCAAAGACTTTCACGATGATTGGGAGAGAATTCGGGGAATAATCCAAGAGCAAACTGAAAGCAAGTTGATCATCAACGCCTTCCAACCGGATAAGGCCCTATTCAAATGCTCAACCTCAGAACTTGCTCGTCTTCTCCTAAAAAACAGAGGTTGGGTTACTTTTGGGCCTTTAACTCTAAAATTGGAAGCCTGGAATCCGCATCTACACAGGCGCTCTTTCGTGGTGCCTTCATACGGGGATTGGGTAAAAGTGAGAAACATTCCCCTACATTTATGGAGTTTGGCAACCTTTAAGGCAATAGGAAATGCTTTGGGAGGTTTTCTGGACTACGCCAGCATTAATTCTTGCCTTATTAATTGCTTGGAGGTGGCCTTAAAGGTCAAAGGTAATTATTGCGGGTTCATTCCAGCAGAAATAACTCTTGTTGATGGTTTACAATCGTTTCAGGCGCAGGTGGTATCTTTCGAAAATGCAGATTTCTTGGCCGGAAAAGTCATAGGAATTCATGGCGGATTCTCGCCGGAGGCAGCAAGAGCGTTTTACCAAGCTGAAAATAGGGACTCAGACCATAGTACAGCGGATGTTTGGAGAATGCAGGATGGACAGCATTACCCAGTGGTGAAAATTTGGTACCCTCCCTGTGTGACCGGTCAAAGAGGCAGCCCCTCTGATGCCCCTAGTTTGACAGATTTGACAGGAGCCTGCCCCCACCTTTTGTCAACTTTTTGCCTCAAATCGAAGCAAATACAGGCTCACAGACCAAAGCAGAGGACAAAGGAAGGCCCATGACTCAAAACCTTCAAAATTTTGTCTTTTCCACTAAGCCGGGGCCCACCAAGCCTTTAGATGATAAGGCAGTTGACCCTTATCGGGATTTTCAAAAAATAAAAGGCAAGGTAAGGCTGTTTCCTTTTCAAATAAAAATCAGACCCATTTTTTTCATAAAAAAGGAAAGATACACTCTACAGATGACAAAGGAAAAGACAAAGGAAGCGACAGAGATTCAGAAATGGAAAAAAAATGGGAAACAGACTCTGAGACTTCAGCGGAGCGTTTCAGTAGCGAGGAGTTAGAATGTGTTGAAGCAACCCCCTTGACTGTAGATCAGGAAGAACTACCAGAAGGTTTTTATGATTGTTTCAAAGAGGTGGATGATTTGCAGCTTGCAGATAAGATTGTAGAAAGGGACCTGCCCATTTGTGAGGATTCCCAAATAGATATGATAGATTCCTTAAAGATTCAAAGGGAAAATCAAGTAGCTGTAGTCAAGCAAAAAAATGATAAACGAGAGAAGGAGGTCATGGATTCCTCTGAAGATGAAGAGGATGATAGAACCAGACACCCGTTCTAAAAAAAAATGGTTAAAGATTTGAAAAAGTGGCATATGTGCATTAGACCCAGCTTCAACAAAGCAAGCGCATCGGTTCAAAAAAAGACGAGGGAGATTACTAATTATCTTAGATCTGTAGAGAAGGAGCTTGAAGCTGAAGAGATGCAAGTAGAAGAGGGCCTTTCGGTGTGCCCATGAAAATTGTCTCCTAGAATGTCAGAGGGCTTGGCGCTCCCCCCAAAAGAGTGCTCATCAAAGGTCTGTTGTCAAAAGCAGGGTCGGATATAGTCATCCTTCAAGAAACTAAGATAGTTTTTTTCGATAGAAGGTTGGTCAAAGCCATCTGGAGCTCGAGACATGTTTTTTGGTCTGTGCTAGAGGCAGAAGGCTCTTCGGGTGGAGTTATCGTCATGTGGAATCAACGCACAGTACAGGTGACGGATTCCATTCTTGGTATTTTTTCGGTTTCAATTCTAGTTAATTATAAAGACTGCTTTCAGGGCTGGGTGACAGGGGTTTACGGGTCTTCAACCCCCAAAGGAAGAGACGATTTTTGGCAAGAAATCATCGACCTCAACGGCTTATGCTCAGACTTATGGTGTATAGGCGGAGATTTTAATGTTGTTAGAAGAACAGGGGAGAAGTCAAACGGGGGAAGAATGGCAAGAAGCATGAAGAATTTCAACACGATCATTGAGGAGCTTGACCTTTTTGATGTTCCCATGAAGAATGGTTTGTTCACTTGGTCTGACTTTAGGGACCAACCGATCGCCACCCGCATTGACAGGTTCTTTCTCTCGAGAGGTTGGCTAGATGCCTTTAAGGAGGTCGAGATGGTGAGACTGACGAGAACTACTTCGGACCATTTCCCTTTGCAGCTTAAACTAGGTAATAAAAAATGGGGCCCTTCCCCCTTCCGTTTTGAAAATATGTGGCTGGACCATCCCTCTTTCATGACTAATGTAGAGGATTGGTGGAGTTCGTTAAAGTATGAGGGCTGGTCGGGTTACACTTTCATGTCAAAGCTAAGGGGACTAAAACAGAAACTGATCACCTGGAACAAAGAGGTTTTTGGTATGGTTGAAAACCAGTTGAGACAGATTCAAGGGCAGATTGACGAGCTTGATAATTTAAAAGAACACGGGGGTCTGAACGCTAATTTGCATACAGAGAGAGATGAGTTAAAGGCTGTCTTTATGGATTTAACCATGAAGGAGCAGAGGAAATGGGCTCATCAATGTAAGCTCGGGTGGCTTAAGGAAGGGGATGAGAACTCCAATTTTTTCCATAGATGGGCCTCTGCTAGAAAATCCAAAACACTTATTTCTACCATGGAAAAGGAGGATGGTTCTCTCCTGACCTCAGAAGTTGAAATCGAGCAAGAAATTGTTGGTTTTTCTGAAAAGTGGTAGCACTAATGGCGACAGATTCTTGGTGGATGGCATTCAATGGGAGTGCCTAAGCATGAGTTGGAAGCTTTGGTTGGAAAGACCGTTTGAAGAGGAGGAGATTCACAAGGCTGTTTGCAACCTTGGAAACCTGAAATCCCCGGGTCCAGATGGCTTCACTAATGAGTTTTTTAAAAAAACTTGGAACATTCTTAAAGACGATCTTTTAAGAGTGTTCCATGATTTTTTTCAAAATGCCATCATAAACCAACGTACAAATGAAACCTACATTTGTTTGATTCCAAAAAAGACGAAGGCTTTGAGAGTTGGGGATTTTAGACCAATTAGTCTTGTGACCTCTTTATATAAAATAATTTCCAAGGTCCTAGTTGAAAGACTTAAAAGGGTTCTGCCTTTTATCATTCACGATGCCCAAGCTGCTTTCATTGAAGGACGACATATTCTAGATGCTATTTTGGTTGCAGCTGAATCAGTGGGTGATTGGAAAGTCAATAACAAATCTGGCTTCATCCTAAAGCTAGACTATGAAAAGGCCTATGACAAGGTGGATTGGCTTTACCTTGACGCTATCCTTGAGCAGAAAGGCTTTGGGCAAAAATGGAGGAGCTGGATCAAAGGGTGTTTGGCAACTGCCAATTTCTCAATTATGATCAACGGGCGGCCTCGTGGAAAGATTCTTGCTAAGAGAGGCCTAAGACAAGGTGACCCATTGTCCCCTTTTCTCTTCACTTTGATAGGTGATTCTTTTAGTAGAATGGTCCTTTTTTGCTGTCAAAGGAAGCTCATCAAGGGGTTTGAGGTAGGCAGCAGAAAAGTGGAGATTTCCCACTTGCANAAAGACCGTTTGAAGAGGAGGAGATTCACAAGGCTGTTTGCAACCTTGGAAACCTGAAATCCCCGGGTCCAGATGGCTTCACTAATGAGTTTTTTTAAAAAACTTGGAACATTC